CATTGACGACATGAAAGACCTTCTCTTTCATCACCTTCTCCTTATAGCTAGACATTACATATACACCTGCAGACTTGGGAACAACCTTCCTAAGCTGCAGGTGAATATACAGGTACTTATGAACTCGATAGAAATTGAAAAGCAGATTGCATTCCACAATAACGGGTCAAACGTCTTTGTACAGAGATGGTCTTGCTTTAAAAATAACCTCTCACAAAATCTATTGCATTAACAATATATAGGAAGCGTAAAACGAAGAATCCCTTGACTTGAAAATATCTTGTATGACTTTTTGTGTGATTTTATTTTACTATATGTATATACTTTTTGCTTGATTTATTTGTTTATTTTAGCCTCGTACCTTTCTGTTTTTGGTGGCAATATTTATTTTCTTTGTTTAGTCATACAAATTAGTTGCATACTCGAAACATCTCTACTTTTTTCAACTGCTCAAGGCGTAAAACGTAGAATCCCTTGACTTGAAATCAAATATCTTGTATGACTTTTTGTGTGATTTTATTTTACTATAATTATGTGTATTCTACTATATGTATGTCAATACTTGTTGTGGCAATAAAAAAGTTATCAAAAAAAAAAGTGTCTCTTAAAATCTTGAGTCTTCAAGCTTAAAGCTTAAGTTTATGTTTTAAGCCAGCTTCCCGGTGTTTGCTTTTTTCAAAGATAAACTTGAGGCACGGAAATCGCTCAAAGCTTCCTTTTACAGCCAGAATTATAACTAAATATTCTTTGGAACGTTTTCTTTCTATTTGCAGTGAGATATGTCGAAAGGTTTTTTAAAGTTCTGTAAACTTATATCAAACCTAATACTCGGTCAGATCATTGTCTCAAATCTTACAAAAGTGCATAAACTAAATAGCTGCATAAACTATGCTCAACTTCATTAAATAAGATATAAAAAGCAAACATCGAATACAATAATCACTCAAGGTTACCATTTGAGATGCTTAGCTTATTTCAGTTATTTATTTCAGTTATTTATCAACAAAACAGTGACTTGTTCTTGTGACCTGTGACCTGTGACATGTACTCTGTACCTGCCAAACTTTATGTTTCACCTTAATTTGTACCAGATCTTTTAGATTTACTTGATGATTTAGGCCATAATCCTTCAATTACCATCACCAATTGTACTTGCTTATAAGACCATCATTTTCAGCGAAATAGTATTAAATTGAAGCTTAGGCTTACCTTAAGGCACAATATAACCTGCCATCAGGCTTTCTTTGTTACAAAAAGGAAGAAGGACCGCCTGATCGCAGGTTAGCTACAATATAATTACACATACATGCCGGCATACATGTAAGCTTACCTCCAAGACCCGTGCCAGATTTTTCACGACTTCTACCATGCCAAGTTCGAGAATTTTTAGATCATGAATAAAGCCAAGTGTTGACGAGTAGGTAAAAGAACTGCTGAAGCTAAAATCCAAGTTGCAGAAGTGTAATTATGTTACTTTTGATCCAATTTACTACACACGTGTTCTGTGGTCAATAATCAGTCGCCATATTGGTTTCGTTTAGGACCCAGTCTCTCGATTGGCGCGTGCCTCTCGCGCGCGGGCTTTCGTTTCGTAGTGCTCGTTTCACGTTTCTCGAGGACTCGTAAAACGCGCTCAATAGAGTCAGGAAAATAAACATTTTCATGCTTATTACTTGTTCATGAACTTTCGCGATTTATGGGTTAGATTAATAGTAAATATAATTATTACTTCTTACAGTGACGAGTACTTCAACTGAGTAAAAAGCTACAAAGAAGGCTATGAGAGTTTTGAGGATCCTTCAAAGGAAGCTCTCATCGTGCGATCGATCGGTTAAGGCACGCGCATACCTATCCTTAGTGCGTCCGATTGTTGAATACGCCACGGTTGCTTGGTCTCCGATACAAATAAAGGGATTGACTTTGTCGAAACTGTTCAAGACCGCGCAGCACGTTCTGTTAACAGCGATTACAGCCGCTATAGTAGCGTTTCATCTATGCTTACTGATTTGAACTGGCCTTCACTCTAGTCATACCCTGCCAGCAGAGGCCCTTCGATCTTCCTCTTCCCGACTTATCTAGGAAGATCAAAGGGCCTCTGCCCGTAGGGTACTGCAGTCAAGGCACAGGATATGCAATCTCGGCATGTTTTATAGGATTCATAGAGGTCAAGTGAACATCTCCCTTCCCTATGACCTTACCTCCGTGCCTGCGTATGGCCGTACAAGGGCGGCCACGACTTTAAGATCAGGCTACCATCCTCTTCAGTCGACGCTTACAAACACTCCTTCTATGTGAGATCAATCCCTGTGTGGAACGCGTTATCATCTGATGTTGTTAGTTAGGCATCTTACCAAGGAATTTATCCGAAGATTGTCCACTACTTTAACATATTAACTTAATCACATCTTTTACTTCCATACCATGTAATTCAACACCATGTAAATGTAGACATTAAATTCTGCAATTCTGCTTGCAGAATTTAATATGTCTACATTATTATTTTTGCTGATCAGGTCTTTATAGATCCTACGATGTTCGGCATATTCGCTTGCGGTCCTTTGCAGTCCTTTGTGGTTTAAAATGTTTGTAACATGTAACTGTTTCATTGTAATTTCATACCATGTATTTGAGCGACCGCTGTCCGCTCCATTGCCGGATTAGCACAAACGCTATTGCAATTACCTTGATTAAAGATTTAAAGATTAAAGTAATGAAACTAGCGCATGAGGAATGTGAGTGCAGGCCCTTAATATTGAACCTATTCCAGGGGCTATTGTCTGCGGTGATGGGTTTGTCGCTGTGGACCTGCTGATGTCCCTAATAAGGACGCCCCTGGGTCGAGACAGCTGTCTGCTAACGCCCAGGCGATATGGCTTTGCGCGTGCGTTCGGTACTGGTCAGGCGGTGGGTTGGTGTACGTGTTCCAGTTGCTGTTAAGTTTGCTATAATCGGGGTAGGAGAACGCAGCTGACCTTTTGACCAGTAATAGTGTGGTTTGAAATGATTGCGCCATAGCGTGTGACACCCGCGCGCAATTTTGATGAGGACGCCGCGCAAAGAATAAGCAAACAAGTGATGTTAGAATTACCTTCATCGGAAGTGAATAAATTCCATTTTCTGTCATTACTTTCAGGACAACCTTAAGCAGCGACGTTGTTGAGCGACGCACATCAACCGGAAAGGACTTTTTGCACTCTTCAGCCGTGATTTTGAACAAATTTTGGGGCAAATCGTCTAAGTGAAAAAACACTTAGCAATACAAATTTGCTGGTGCGAAGGAATATTAAAAAGAAAAAGGCTTACTTCTGGTTGACGAGCGTCGCTCAAAAAAGTCGCTGTTTAAACTTCCAATTGACTTCGAATGTGAGGATTGTGAATGGGACTCCGATTATAGTAATCACCGGAGTGAGATTGTTACTGTTTTTGATTGATATGAAGGAGACAGAGGCGAGATTTTTGAATAAAATTTCGGGGGAAGATAGTGACGTTCATCTCTAAAGGTTTGACAACCAGGTGTAAAAAAAGTACAAAGTGACATATTGATTTAGGAGAATACTTCCTGCCGTGATTTCATGAGGTCAAGAAAAGCCCAGTTTCCCTAATACGATTTTCACTAATATGTTTGCGCATCTCGTTCTCCCTATCTTTACTTTCTAAAAATATATTGAATAGCAAATGATGCTACTCAGGCCACAAATAAACTATATGCCCTCCAAAAGTCATGTGATTGTCCTATTAACCAGGGATGCGCCTGGAAGATGCGAGTGAGGGGAGATGGGAAGGAGAGAGCTTTCCCTCCTATGGTCCCCTTCGCGCCGAGATGCCGTAATAGTCTTCCGTGACCTTTCCATGAACGCTTACAAATGATAAGAGACGACTGGGGACGAGTCAGATTCAATGGTAACGTATAATGTGATTAAGATTTTGATGGGTCAATATTTATTAACCTTCCAAGATCTCTATTTTAGTTACGTCCATCTTTGATATCTGTTGAGGCGTTAACGCATGGTTTTGGACGGTTTCATAAGAGCCGTGTATGTCTTGTCTAAAATATCCTTGCAGTTTGCCAGACTTGACTGTTTTCTGACTTTAAAAGGAGGTCGCTGGTTGCGATAACAGGGTGGTTGGATCAACGAAGGTGTAAAATAAGGCAATAAACCAGAAGTTATCAAAAGAAGGAGTTACTAGTTGTATGGCGGGGTTCCACTATAACTGTATTCTGGGGTACAAATGGACAGGGAGTTGGGGTTGAACTTGCTTTGATATTCTTTCAGTGATTCACCCCACTCAGCAAATCGTTAAGGGCCTGTTTACATGGAGGTAGGGGACCCCAGGAAGGTGAGGTAACCCGGTTAAGTGGGGTGAAAAACTAATCCTCGTTTACATGCAATCTTACAACCCCGCCATCCCGGGGTGCACTTTCTCAAGATTATTGAATGGTCGCTAAGCACGTCAACAAGAAAAATGCTGGCAAACCACGTTTTTTCGCGATTAATACTCTTCTGCTCTCACTTGCTGCTCTTGATACAACTTTCAGTGCTGTGGCTTTCTATTATTTTTCACCTTTCATGATGTAAAGCCACCGCCAAAGTGAATTTTTTGCGAACTTGATGTTATATCACGAATCCGACCCCGGCTAAGCGGGTTACCCCATTCACCTTGAAACGTTTACAGGGCAAATTTAGACCCCGGCTTAGAGGGTTACCCGGTCTGGCAGACGGGGCTACGCGACTTGTCCGGTCACCCGACCTATCATGTAAACGCAATCAAATTAAAACGAGAGACTATATGGACAGTCAGGCGGAATACCTTATGAACACCTAACTGGGCGGGTTCCCCCACCTCCATGAAAGCAGGCCCTAAGACTGGCTGGGTTCTTGATGAACAAGCCTAGTTTTTAGGTCACAATCTAGAATTATACAGGAACTTAAGCACCAAATATTGGAACTTTATCTTAATGTAATGCTTTATTTTAATAATTTTGTTAAGCATTTAAGATTGAAGGGAACTTTTATCAGTTCACCCAGTAAATGCTCATTGTTTTTGAGGAGGCGGCTTCATGTCCTTCTTGTTCTCAATAAGCTTCACTTCTGGTGGCGATGGCTTAATTCTGGGGAACTTGTACTCTGTATCACGATCATTGTCGTTAAAATTTTTCTCTGGAGGTGCCTTCATTTCCTTGCTGTTGTCGATGGTCTGAACTTTTGGTGGTGCAGGCAACACGCGAGGAAACTCCACAGGTTTCCCACTCTTGTTTGCCTTATCTTTAGTCTTTTTTGGTGCATCGTGTGTCATTTGGTCCAAAGACTTGGATGGATACCAATAGGATTTCACTTCAATTTCGGTGGATTCCTCAAATTGACCAACCATGGTGAAAGAATAGAGGTCTTTGTTGAGTAGTTGGTCGATGAAATATTGTGCATATGGGTAATGTTGTTTCATGGCGTGCCACTGCCAAGGGTATTTGTTCTGATCGATTTGCTCCTCGAGATCTTCATAGAATGGCTTCTGATCATTTCCAAACTTAAACGAAATCTTTTTTCGATCACCTGAGCCGCGGTGCTCCCAATGAAAGTTTGGACTGTTTCCATGGTAACCACCTCCCCAGACCATATAACCTTCTAGTGTTACCGTGAATGTTGGAAGGACTGTAGCAGTATAAGGGATTGTCACTTTTTGTGGCTTTCTAAATGCATGCCACTCAGCAAATGTGTTTGCAGGTAACTCTTTTGTTTCTTTCAGCCACAAAATATGCCAATCTTCATCAGCGGTTGTATCTTCTTCTTCGCCTCCCCACTCATATTTAAAGCTCGTCTTAGCAGAAAACCCCACCCCTCCAGTGGTACTTGGAGGTTCGTATTCCAAACCCACCTCAATTCCAATATTTCCATCCCAGCTGCTTCTCCTTACATTTTTCAAGGTCCTAGCGCTGCGAATCTCCTGTTCCACTACTGACGTACCGTTACTATTTTTTCTGTTGTACGCTGTCTTGCTATAGCTTCTGTCTGGAGAATCAAGCAACTCTTGCTCTCTGTCCAAGGGAATGGTCTGTGTAATGGACTTCCCAAATTTAACATCTCTCATTGTATAGGCAAAGTTCTCGTAAGTGATCTTCAGCCGAACGTCTTTTTTCGGACCATTTCCTGTACACCAGTGCGATCTGCCACCAAAATAAACGCGAAGAAATGGTTACTAACAATTTTTCATATCACGTGCTTTATTATAAACGAATACCAATGTGTTGCACCCCCAAAATGGGAATGGTTTTAAAGTAATAGTAAAAGTTTTAGAACTTGTTCTGACAAAAAAGGAACATTATAAAGAGCTTAAAGAACCGTCCTACTACTGTGAACCGCTAAGCTGTAATATTTTGCGGCCAGTTGTCTTCTATTATGGAATAATTCTAATTAAGATCATCCACAAAAAAATATAAAGGTAACTGATATAATGACCAGTTATTTAATGATATTTTAAGCTTTCAACATGAAACGTTAAAACCGAAAAAACAACTGTGAAACTTTGATGTTCAGCTTAGATGTTCAAAAACGGTAAAACTAATCACATTCTCAGGAAGTTTTCGAAAATATTCCTTTTTCACAAAAAGTATTTTAAATAAAGAAAAGTATTCATAAAACCTTTCCAGACGAGTTATAGGCCATCGTAATGAAGAATTGAGGAAGCATGACAAAACTGTGTGGTAAATTATGTTACTGCCGGATTACCTATAGGTAGATTCCCATTTGTCGCCGTTACGACGGAAATCGTCCCCTGAGTATTTAGCGAAGCATCCACCAGACCATGCAAATCCCATCATGCTCGCCAACTGACCGAGGTTAAACATGGTAACATCCATCACGCGCTGCTTCAGTTCGCCCAATGATTTAAGTTTCGGAATTTCTAGAGAAAAAATCAGAGTAAACAGCATATTTCAGGTTTAGGTAGGTTTAGGTTAAGTATAAGCTGGTGGTCCCTTCGAACTGAGAGGTGTATGTTTGTTTTCCCCACCCCCCTGGGACAAAAGAAGGTCAGTTCTTTTTATTGTGAGTGCTGAGAAGTGAGAGGACGCTCCGCGCGAAACTGGGGCGTGACCTTTTTCAGTTCTGCCTTCAGGTTTATAAAAGGGTGAGAAATTCACGAGTTGAAGTAAATGGAAGGGTAGGGAAATCTCCCGTTTAGGTATTCAAAAGGCCTTAATTAAAATATTATTGAAAAAGGCGCAACTCATAGCTAAATTATTTTCACTTATTAAACCCTGCATATAAGAAAATAATTAAATATGACAAAGTAAGGAGTCCGATTAGTGTCATGCAAATTTTGTGCCCGATTTTCCTTTTCTGGACTTTCTCCTCTCTTTTAGTTTTATGTCCCGTTTTTTTTTCTTAACATTTTTGCCGACTTTTTTCTCGAATTTTCTGACCGGACTAGTTTCCATTTTGAACACAAGGACCAGACCTTTTAAGACATTTTTTTTTAAAATAAGATTTGAAAAGTAGCTGTATGGTGGGGATACACATTCCTTCAAATCTAAAGAAAAAAATTCAGTCTTCATTTTTCGCAAATATCTTTTTTGCCTATTCAACAAATGATAAACTGCTTAGCGTTCGCTAATACCTGATTCGACTGGCCAATCTAGATATATTTCAAAGATTTCTTTCAGACTTACCATTGACAATTTTGCAACATTTGAACTTCTTGATGTTCGACAGTCCTCCCTGTGAACCCTGAATCTGGAAACCTGCAATAAAGTATCCATCCCTGCGACATTCGCTGAGTCCAGCTTTATTAAATGTGTTGCTAACGTCTTCGTCATAGCAGCCACCCCAATGGTAAGGATGTTGAGATGGTTTGCAGCATTTACCCCACTCGATATTCCACAGTCCGTCTCCGTTTGACCGATACAAACCTCGGAGGAAGAAACCCTGTTGGCAGTTGCTTACTCCAGTGCTGAGCAAAGTAAACGTCAAAACATCATGGGTACATGATAAATGATAACGTCATTTACTAAAACAGTGTAAAGTAATTCATTATATAAACACCAATGAAATACCAAGTGAGCTTTCGCGCGAAAACTTGATATCTTCACATGTGAAAATATGACCGTTACTATGGCTTCATAATAAACCGCACCTTTCAGACCAAAAAACTATTTAAGTAAAATGGTTTGGTATTTCATTAGTGTTTATATAATAAATAGAACATTACATGGTCGCTTGAAGATACGAAATTTCTCTTCTCGTGTTGAAAAACATTTTTCAACACTGGCAGAGAAATTTCGTATTTCCGCGCGGCCATGTAATGTCCTCTATAGAACCTGCAGGCAGAGGATTCTCTCTTTCATGGGTTTTAAGTATGCGTCGCTTGTCTGTCGCGTAGTCGGTTTTAATTTGGGGGTATGAAACAAGCCAACTACGCGACAGACAAGCGACGCGAACAACTTCGTAAACGCTAAAAGCCATGCAAGAGAGAAACGTCTGCATGCAGGGTAACATTATTGATAATAGAAATCTAAAACAAGTTGGAAAATGAATTTCTTATTGCCTTGGTCACCTTTCTTGGCCTCCTAGCGAATTTAAATATTGCGACTAAAAACATTGAAAAAAAGCAGATTATTTTGATTATTGTATACGACGCGACACTGCCCATTGGCTGTTCTAAACCCTAGTCATCCTTAGTCATCCCAAGGCATCCCAAGTCATCCCTAGTCATTCCTAGTCATCCCAGTCATCCTTAGTTATCCCAGTCATCCCTACTAATCCCTTGTCATCCCTAGTCATCTCAAGTCATCCCAAATAATTCCTTGTCATCCCTGGTCATCCGAGTCATCTCTAGTCATCCTAGTCATCACTAGTCATCCCTTTTGTACTGAGACACTCAACTTTAAGGTAGAACACACTTGTTAATCCAGACAGATGTTAAGTTACTTCTAAAGATGGCTTACTCCGCCCGCGGGCAAGATAAAGCGAATCCTATGTTTTGATTGGCTAAGTGAGCGGGCAAGGTGGACCCACTCGGGATTTCACGCGTTGATCCCGCAAGAAAATGTTCTCTTTTTGGTGATTATAATAAATCCTTTATTGACCAGGTCAAAACGGCTGAATATTAGCCTCGTCCTTTTTTCCTCTTTTATTGACCTCGACTTCGTCTCGGCCCATAATAGGGAGCTTAAGTAAAGACGTTTTCGAGCGACGAACGTCAACCGGAAGTCAACGGGTAGTGTTTTTGCCCTAATTCTAAGGCAAATCTTCTTTTTATGAGTGAAGACACTTAGTAATACAAATTTAGTCGCGTAAAGGCATAGTGGAGGAAAAAGACCACACTTCCGGTTGACGTGCGAAGCTCAAAAACGTGTTTGCTTAAGCTCCGTAATATTACCACAAAACAAACTTGGACAATATCCAGGCATCCTGACCAGCTCACGCTTGATAAAAAACGCATATTTATTTATTATACGGTTGGTTCCGCTGGCGGGCAATATGAAGCGAAAACCTGTGTTCTTATTGCGCGAGGCACGATAGATGACCTAACGTACCCACGCGGGTATTATAGCCTCTTACAATTGTAAAAACCGGAGACTAAACTTTAAAAAGGGGGTTACAGTCCAAGAAATTATTTACCCGTCAAGTGACCTGATCCAATCGGGCGTCTGACATTGGGTAGGTTGATTCCAGAAGGTTTGATCTCGACGGCAGCATTTAGCTCGCTTTATTCCTCGTAAGTTGTTAGTGCCATCTCGTTCGAAACCCACAAGATTATAATACGATCCACATGCTGTTTCATCGCTTTTTTTAAAATTGCTTCCCCAGTTTTGCATGTAGCATGATCTTGCGGCAGCTGAAAGTATTAGAATATTATAATTGAGAACAATTAACTGAATATGTTCATTTTTTCACTTCAGATCTGTTTAAGCATAAATGTATCAAAATATGAACTAGCTAGTTACTCGACATTACGTTATACTTGTCCTTCCTCTCCTCATATTCCAAAGAAATGATCTGATTAACAGTTAACAAGAAGGCAACTCTCCTCAGAGAGATGGTTCTTTCATCGCAGCCTCGTCATGTAAGGTAAAGTCTAGGATTCTTAGATTCCACGTAGTGGATTCCAGGTACTGGATACCGGCCGGATTCCTTGTCAGATTTATAGATACAGTAAAAACCCGCGAGTAAGAACCTACATTTTCTGGAGTTAGCCTAAACAGGTTCTTATTTAAATAGTAGTTAACACAATTTTAGGCTATTTAGGTTCTTAAATAGGTTCTTATTTCTGTAAAAAAAAAAAAAACAAGCTACAAAACAGGATGGTCATCTGCGTATTTTTCAACTTCAAAATGTGATACAACAATATTAACCTCTTGCACTTTATTTTTTTATCACATCAATAAATTAGCACTTTTATTTGCACAGCAATGCCAAGCTCCTTATTCTCCAAACAGGATTCTTACACAGCTTTGCAGCTGCATTTCACTAACATGACTTTCAAAAATAAGAACCTGTTTTTCATTTTCTAGGCTAAACAGGTTCTTGTTTATAGGGGGTATAAATGGCAAATTTCAGGCTAACAGGTTCTTAATCTTCAGGTTCTTACTTGCGGGTTTTTACTGTAGTGCACACATTTTTTAGCTAAAATTCGAATCAATACCCTTCTGATCTTTTTACATCGGTACATGTGTGCAAAGCAATAAGAAAAAGGTCACATGTTTTGAGAACTGAAATGCCTTGCGGTAAAAACAGCTGGAACGTGATTCAATAATCCAATTACTTACACGAGTAAAACAAAAAGGAGCTGCTAAACAAAAGGACCAGTTGAACTGGAATAATAAACCACATCGTAGGATCCGGCCTTTCCTGTGTTATACGACTGCAAAAGCAAAAAACGAATTAGCCATTTATGACGATGCCGTGGTTTTTGAACCCAAGAAAACTAGACTCTTCTCAGGCTTCATAAAGAGAGACCAGGGCGGGGTTGTTCTAAGCTGTGTTAAGATTACCCAGGGTTAGTGCGACACTGAAATTCAGACATGAAGCCCTAAAAACCCAAATTAGTAGAACTCTTTTGGTTTACAATTGGATGATTGAATGCTCTAAAGAGAATGGAGAAAATTATCAGAAAAAGTGCTTTTTGAACGAAAGAAAACTGAAGAAACATCGGTTTTCGAACAACTGGCCCCAGAGTCCGTGACTTCTAAGTTAACTGGTGTCACCGGCCGACTCTATCAAGAGGGCGACAAACGGAGACGGCGGCAAAAACGAAAGAGAAATCGTCGTCGTTTGTTTACTTTCTCGATAAACATGAAATAAGGCAATCTCACGTTGTAGTCGAGTAGTGAGAGCAAAGAAATGTACCAAAAAGTGTGCTGCACGTGCAAAATTGTTGTTTTGCTAATCTTGCTCGGTAGTTTATAAACAAAATAAAAGGAAAAAATCAGTATGAACTCCATTTGCGAGCGTAAGTTTGCCTTCTTTTATTACAGCACAAACACAATCATTTATCATTAATATTGTTTGCTGCATTGACTTGTAAAAGAGAAAAAACTTGGTACCGCGATTTGTTCCTGTTGTGTGATCATCAAGTGCTTGATGTTTTGTCTACGATTAGTGCAGAACAAAGTTGTTGTATAGTTTTTGTCCTGAACCTTTCCCTTTTTCGTTCTAATCTTCAAAAGCAGTCTATCAGAGCAGATCGGATGCCGAGTTTTCTCCGCTGTTATAGATACATAAAGAATTCCCAGCCCACTTGTTTAAAACTATCTTAAACCAAACCGATCAATTAGAGCTCCAGAGAAAATCACGGTCAGGAAACTAGCCTACATTATTGTAATTAAATATTGGCAATGTAACAGAAATAGTCAACTGAGCAAGCTAAATTCGTCTTAGTTGTCTGTTAGCAAAGGAAAATAAGGCAAAAAAAATTGGCGTATCGAACTACAGAGAAAATAAAACTACGGTTAGAAGAAGAAAGTGCCAATACTGAAAAAACAGTCTAAAACACCGATTAAAACAGTCCAAAATAGGCTTAAAATCAGCCTAAGACGCTATAAAAACAGTGCAACACCGCCTAAAAGTCAGAAAAACCGCTATAAAATCAGTCCAAAACAGACGAAAAATCAGCCTAAAACAGTGCAGCAAAGCCTAAAATCAGCCTAAAACCGTTACAACAACAGTTCAAAACAGCCTAAAACCGCTACAAAAACAGTCTAAAACAGCCTGAAAATCAGCTTAAAACCGCTACAAAAACAGTCTAAAACAGCCTGAAAATCAGCCTAAAACCGTTACAAAAACCGTCTAAAGCAGCCTAAGACTGCTACAAAAAAAGCCTAAAAATCAGCCTGGAACCCCCTTAAAAACAGTCCAAAATAGGTTAAAAATCAGCCTAAAACCCGTTTATAAACAGTCCAGAATAGCCTAAAAGTAGACTAAAACCCCTTTAAAAACAGTCCAAAATAGCCTAAAAATCAGCGTAAAACATTTTTAAAAACAGTCTAAAACGCCTAAAAATCAGCCTAAAACACCGATAAAAACAGTCCAAAATAGGCTAAAAACAGCTTAAAAATCAGCCTAAAACCGCTACAAAAACAGTCCAAAACAGACGAAAAATCAGCCTAAAACCGCTATAAAGACAGTCCAAAACAGCCTGAAAATCAGCCTTAAACAGCGATAAAAACAGTCCAAAACCGCCTAAAAATCAACCTTAGAACGCACTGATTTTGTGCTAAAAGCAGTTTCAGAAACACAAAAAAAACCCTGAACTTAATTACTTACCAGCTGAGATTTGTTTGCGAGATTTACACTGTTAGGAGGTAAGTTGTTTATGGTGATTCGCGTGGCTTTTGTTTCCTTGAAAGATGGAAAATTTGACTGACCGACTGATTGACAGACAGCTTGTCTCAACAACCTGTAGCCATAGCTATTTCATTAACTGGACAAATGAAACTAGTGAAGCATGAATTATTAGCTGAAAAGGCCTCTAAATATTTGATTTCATTTCTGTGATAATTGTTTCATACTATATTTGCCAGAAAAGCGTTTAACTTTTTGAGCCATTGATCCATGATAAGGCTTCGCTCAAGGTCTTTAAAGTTCAAGCCAATTGAGAATATGAACGAGTTTTGATTCGCAGTCTGTAGACTCTCCCTCAATTTATACAAACTCCAAGCTTCGTTTCCGCAAAATTCCATGTAAATTATCCATCTCAGTTTGCAATGAAACCGTGGCGTTTTGTTCAGTGAAGCATTTCAGTCAGTTCAGTGTCTACTGTTTCCAATTAACAAATAACTCATCGCTAAATGATTCAGATTATGTCTTTTCTTTACAGTGTAGCTTCATTAGGTTCAACAAACAATTACCAGATTTTGTTTGCTGAAAGAACAATCAAACTCTTTAAGAATCAGATTTGGACTCAATTCCTTTGAACGTTTTCTAAAAAGCTAGCCTTTAGTTTCATTATAATTCCTCCGCAGGCAATTTATTTCCCTTCCAAGTTTTGTTAATCTGTGATTCTAAAATTTCTAGAATTACAGTTTTTGAGGGGGGAAATATAATTCTATTAAAAAATTTATTACTCAGCAAGGTAATTAGTGCATGAAGGGTAAAATGTAAAGTATCTAATTGTAAACAGGTGCTAGATGAGTGAAATCACTGGAAACAAATGAGAAAAATTGTTTTTCGTTGTGATCCTTTTTAATAATATATTATCTTTTTAGCCAGCACCTAGAAATATATGGTGAGTGATCTTTTTAGTCAGTCCAGATACATCCGAGGGGAGGCTGTTTTAGAAAGTATAGATCTTCGGTAAGTTTGTTTTTTTTTTTCCTTTTATCTTGCATCACTGGCTGAAACTAGATCAGCGTATCATTAAAATATCCACTAAGACAGTGAGTAGCTTCAAATCCGAAAGACGTGTGAAAACTCCAACGCCCAAATTAAGGTTGCAGATTTGCCTGTAAATTTCCATATGTATATGTATCTAGAAAGTAAAAGTACTATAAAATGAACTGAGCTTCTTGGCTCTTTATCTGCGATAGAGTTTTCCAGTTTCTCCAGAGTTGTCCGGTGAAAGGTGCGCAGCTTTTTAATGAAATATCGGTCATAAATGCAAAGCAAATAGCAAACTAGTCATCTTCGATTCACGATGTAAAGGGAAATAGTGGTATATTTGCCGCCTGTAATGTTTGTTGAACTTAATTGTAAATCAGGTGTACTGAAAGTGACTGTCTTATTTTCCGTAGCAATGGGTGTCAGAATTCTGTTCCTGGCTGCTGTGGTTCTAATATTGTTTCTGCGGAACTCATCCTCACAAAGCTGTCATGACCACAACGATTTTGAGAAGCAGATGTCGAAAGAGGGGTACTCAAGGTGTCCATGGGTAAACCATATGTATATCAAGGGATTCAAGAAGAAAAGCTCACCCAATGATCTGAGAGGTTTCAAGGCAGCAAAATGCTGTCTGCCCCCTTCAGTTTATCTATGGAAGCCTAATATTTGTACATCCGCTGACTGGGATTTGAGTTTTAGAAAGTGGGTTCCTTTTACTTACAATATAGCCAAAGTTAGCCCAAGCTCACTAGGAGAGCCCAGAACAACAGCTAATTAATTATTCATACGGCAAAAATTTAAGACGTTGTATGAAAATTACCCTATTTCTCCATAATTGAGCGAAAACGTGCATTATGTTTACTTGTGTGTTGACCGCGTTTCAGGCCTCTTAGGATGCCAAGAACCTGAGAACAACACTACCCTACTAAGCTAATAAATTATTCACACAGCGAGAAAATTATAAGACGTTGTATGAGAAAAATTATTTGCTCACCAAATTAACATGTGCATTAATACGATATCTCTTCAAAGCTTACCTTTAGGGTTTTCTTGATTTTCATTGCGTTCTGACTGCATTTTAGACCTTCTAGGCACTGTTTAATGCTTTTTTTTGAGAGACAGTTTTCCACCCAGATGACAGCAGAGAGAAAAGAAGACTTGACCGGCTCCGCTCTCGGCGGCGATAAACTGCATGACATTAGGGACTTTAAGATAGTTCACTACGGTCGCCTGTGACGGTTGGCTAGATGTCATGTCACGCACAAAAAGGAGGACATTTTACTGTCGTCCTTCTGGGACGGTATGTTTTCGCGGGGATTCTCGTCGTGAAGACAACGGTGAAACCTGTAAGAGTTCATGCATACTTATTGTCACTTGTCTTCAAAAACTGAGTACCCAGTGGGTTAAATATGCGTTGGGTTGTGTTTATATTGATTTACCGATCGGTGAAATGAAAAAAATAAACAAATAAAAAATAGCGAAAACGTCTGAGTTCAATTATGAGGAATAACTCGTCGCCTGACGACTACTTGTTTTCTACTTAGCGTCATCCGCCATGGCAGAGGAAAAATTGCCGGAAAGAAAGGTGAGAGTGATGATTGTAGCCGTCTTTTTTAACGTAAAACTGTATTTATATCACGAAAAGATTTCTTTAACTCAAAAGGTGTTAGCTCAGGAGAGGAAAGTTCAAATAAAAACATCGATTAGCTTAGAAAACTAGCTAGCTGTAATTTCTACCCTTACTCTTCTTTCGCCATTCTTCGTATAAAATAAGAAACTCTTTTTCAGTAATTTAGCCTTCTGCGAAAGAAATTACAAGGGAGTTTCGCACTTCATCAAATGAAACCATCATATACTTCACCGTCCTCTGTTTTGTTTTCCGAATCTTAAATTGTAAATTTCGCGTCTTTTTACCGTCATGGCCCCAGCCGCCCTTATACGCATCCAACCGTCCTAGCCTACCGTAGTGAACTATCTTAAATTCCATCTTGGCATCCTAAGAGGCCTGAAACGCAGTCAACACACAAATAAACATAAGAAAAATACAAATGCAAGCTTAAAAGGAAAATTTAATGCACGTTTTCTCTCAACTATGGAGAAATAGGGTAATTCTCATACAACGTCTGACAATTGTTTCCGTATGAATAATTAATTAGCTGTTGTTGAGGGCTAGTCTCTCATAGCAAGCTTGGGTTACCTGTGATATAGCTAGTCCACGTTCATACTTTCATCCTGCTCATTATTTAGCCATGTAAGATTTTTTAAGGGAAAGGATTTGGAGTAATAACATCTTCTGTTTTGTCTTTTAACGGCTTGCAAATAATTCTTTTGACTAAATTTAGTTTTATCGTTGTTAAGTTTAGTTTCTTAACGTTATAACTATATAAGGAGTATCGTTAGTCTTATTGTCAAAATACATGTATGAGTACCAAAGTATACCAGAAATTGAGGAAAACTTTATCAATCAATCAATCAATCAATCAATCAATCAAGAGTGGCAGTTCTGCTAGTGTCTCCGAAAGAAAAATAATAAATAAAACAAAATAAAAATAGAAATAGTACAATTAAAATAAATTTTATATAAACACAGGAGCTGATTACTTGCTCCTGATAAACATCAATTACACACACATGATATATACAACTATGTTTCTAAAGTTAATTGCAAATAGGCTTATCGGCCGTTTTCGGTCGTCTTTGAAATAGCACATACTTTTGTAAGTTAAGAAAGATTGAAATCACCGCCAAAGTGTGGCACATTTCTTGATTACACCATTTTAGTGTTTTCATACACTGAATTGGTGTATCTTTTAAGAAACACTCGGCAAGTGTTATGATAACACTAATTCAGTGTTAATGTATATCACCCTTGGTGTTAATTTACAACCTCGAATTTGCTGTGCAGGGGCCACTTTCACGAAAATCTCTGTAACTTTTTGCGCTCAAAGTCAAATATTCAAATCGGAATCGAAAGAATAAACGCACATTTTGTTTTGTTAACTGACAGTTTAATCATACTATCTTCATACTATCCATTGGATAAATCTCTATTCACTGGATAACGCAATTGGTTTTCCTAATTTATCCACTGGATAGTGATTTATCGGGTTGACAGCGCTATCCATCTTTTGAACAACGGAGGCCAGGGTTTCGAGATACAGGCCCTAGGCGAGAATTACGTCATGTGTAGATTTAATTGTTATTATTTTTTCTAGGGAAGGATGGGCTACCTGTCCATCCGGGCATTTCCTCCTTGGATTCCACCGGGGTGGGAGTAACCAATTGAGGAGTATTCAGTGGGCCACTTGCTGTAAGCCAGGCGTTCATCCACACCGCTACAAAGAATGCTATGATCAGAATGTTGGAAGCGGAGACACCTGGGAATGCAACAGAAGTTATTACTATGTTGTCGGTATTCACCGAGGCGCATCCGAGAGTCTGTCTAGTATCAATAAACTGAGATGCTGCAGCATGTATAACCGTATGTATTACGTGGAATCTAATAGATTTAGCCTGGTCAAATAGCAGTTGATATTTGATGCAGACTGCTATTGATGAGACTGTTAAGGTGGTGATCAAGGAACTATCTACAATTGTAGTTCCCAGGGCTTTTTCTCACACTTCCCATTATCTTGGGGGAAAAGCTCTGAGAACGAGTTGGATCAAGGAATGGTACTTAGTCAAATGCAATGGCCCAACGCAAACTAACCAAGTCAAATGATGACCAGATGACTGCGTTTGGTATCGCAAATAAAGTGCCTTTGAATCTCAGTCATTATAACCAGGAGCCAATTATCCGGAGCCTCCATCTCCCATGTATGCCCTTAGAGTTAAACCTTTCCGTTTTAATCTATTTCTGTTATTAAAAACTGAATCATTGGATGATGCAATTATAGGGCTCCGATTGGCTTAGCAATTATACCATGCTCTCCAAATATGGTAACTGTACGCGTCTGCTTAAAATTAAAAACAAGCTGAAAAGCGGTTGTTTTTACAAAAAATAATAAAGTCGGAAAGAGTTCTCGATATTTTGTGGGCGTTTTTAATAAAACAAACACCGTCGCGCTTGTTGGATTGGGATGATTATAGCCAACTCGGCGCGTGCGCCTCGTTGGCTATCTAACATCTCATATCCAACGCACATTCGTGGAATAATTGTTAATTATAACTGATCATGGGATAATAAACATTGTACTCGCTTAAGAACTGTCTAACAATTTTTTCTTTCGCCAACAGAGGTTCTCCCTTTGAAGGGCCTGGATGACGTCAAAACACGAATAATGGATGTAACTCTAAGTAAGCTTGCTCTTCTGGCTCATTATCTCGGGTATGGCTGGGCTGGTGGCTGCAGAGGACGAGTGGTGGGTGAAGACTTCATACGAGATGGGGACAGGTGGAAAGCTGTTTACCGAAGCGGTTGTAGTGGATACAAGTCATCGCAAAGACTGAAGATCGCCTACGAAAACTTTTCCTTCAGAGTCAAGAAAATGGACTACATGAAACCTGAAATTAAGTCAATTAAGCCCATCGTGCAGGATGCCGGAGAGATAAAGAATCAAGATTCCTTGCCAACTACAACGAACGTAAGGCGTCAAATTAAGAGCGTGCGCACTGTTACACACTCATCGACGGAAAGGTTTAAGACGACCGTTGGTGCTTCTCTAACGCTTAGTTATAAGTCCCCAGGGCTGGTTGGAGATGTCGCTACGGGAACCTTCAAAGGATCTTTCACCGTGTCTGGTGGAAAAGAAAGTGCGCAGTTAAACACAGACACAAATGGCGAGATTAAGTGGGATATTGTCACCGTGTCTGAAACACAGACGACTAGTGGCAACGCAGGAACATCTTACCAGATTACCACTTCAAAGAAGCAGATCGACGTACCATACAAAGCTACAATACAAGTTCAGTTCACAGCCAGGCTTGAAGGATTTCTCAGATGGGGTGGTGGTCCCAATGGAAAGAATACAAATTATCATCAAAGGTGGCGAGGCTCCGGCGATAGACCCACCGTTAACTACAACATTGGTACAACGGACAAACCATTCTACAAATTTCTGAAACAGGCAAGTGATCGAGGAGACAGTCCTTGGCTTTGGCATCTGTTAAAACAGAAAATACCATACTCGCAAAACGTGCTGAACAGTCTGACCGATGAAAGCTTGTACGAGTTTGAACTTCATGGCAAGTTCCGCGATGTGGCCGGATTAGATTTCAATGTTCAGTGGGATGACGTGGCTTTAACAAATTATACTCTGTCTTTTTGAAACAAAATAGGTTTCTAAAGAACCGACTAATTAAACAGTTGAAAAACGATCTCCCTGATTTGTTAGTTATGGTTAACATGTCAGAAATATTTAAAAAACTAAATGAATAAAATAATAATAATAATGAAAGTTTAGCCGGCATTGTTTTATGGTTAGAACGTGGAAACTACCCCTCGGTGTTCTCTAACGCTATAAACTTTCATTAGACCCCTCCCCTCACAAAGTAAGACGAGATATCTTTTACTCTCTTTCCACTTTGAGTAAGGTCGGAAGGAAAATCGCATATGGTACTGAAAAACAGTTACACTTGCTATTTATTAAAGCTTGGGGGCATTGGGAAAAAAAAGCGTCCTAACAGTACGTTTAATAAACACAGCCTTTCCACCATTTCTTCATTCTGTTATAGTCACGTCATTGAACTTCACATTCACTCAACGTTTTCTAGCAAATTTCGTGTGCATATTTTTTCCCGGGGTGTACCGCCCGGTTTTCCAAGTCCTGATCCTATTTCAGACCAAAACATGGCGTAGAGCCAATTTCAGACCCACAAAAAATTCACCCTTTCTAGGAGTTGTACTCGGTCTGCCAACCCATTACCTTGTCAAAGTGGAGTCAACATACTGTTTAGGCTTTTTTATCTCGTAGAATTTGACATTGAACTTTTTTCATTTAGAGTGTTAAAAGGACAAACTGACCCTCGTTGTTCCTTTGAAAACCATACGATTTCGTACCATAATGCGCATAATCATAACTATAACAAAATTGTCAAATCTGATTGGCTATCAACTGCCCTGATTTCAGCCTTAATTGGACAGTTTAATAGGACAGTACACGTCATGCCTAAGTAATTGGACAGTACGCACCATCACGCGCGCGCTTAAATGGCTTCTTTTTTTCACTGCTAGCAAAACAAAATTTCGAATTTCTTGTGTTTTGATTTAAAAATAGCCTATTATATCACAAATTTTGTTAAAGTTATGATTAATTGGTAACAGGACTGAGTGGAGTCCAATTCGGTCTGTAATCATACTCGTGATTAAACAAATCGGACTCCCGCTACGCGGTCGTCCGATTTTGTTAATCACTCGTATGATTACAGACCGAATTGGACTCCACTCAGTCCTGTTACCATTACAAATCGATATCCGTTTCAGACCAAAACGGCTCAAAACACCATACTCTTCGGGGTAGAACATATGTTAATAGCTTACATAGGGGAGTAAACCCCCAGGGTTTTTTCGCATTTCTCGAGAAATTATGGATGTTCCCAAGTTCAGTTCCATTCCCTAATTTACAGTCAGTCAACCGTAAAAGGGGGTCCTTTATATCTCCAGACCTCCTATTCCGATTTACATAACAGAGTTCACCAGTGGAAATGTCGGTTTATAAGCTGTATTACTTTAATGTCCGTGGTAGAGGTGAAATTTGCCGACTTGCCTTTGCAGCGGCGAATATTGAATATGAAGACATTCGGTTAGATAGCGAAGACTGGGTCAAGGAGAAGGAATGTAAGTGAAAAATTCTCGTGACCTCTGATTTGACGGACTTTTGTATATATATATATATGTGTTATTGTTATTATCGCTACAGTGTATTTAAAAAATTTTAGGTAATTTATTTGGTTCTGTATTGTAAAAAGACTGGCCACGTACTCCGTATCTCCAGTCCGAACCCAGTCTTACGTAAAAAATCACTACTTTTATTAATCGAATTTAACAGTTCTTGTTGTCTGAAAGATCGAGACATTATCAGTAGTAAGTAGTCCTTCTATCATCGCAAAAATATTGTAATTCTGGGAGTAGTGAAATGAAAAGCCAAAGAAGCTATCGAGGGCCAGGCGACTTACTATGGTGAACTGAAATGAAAAACGTCTTGTAAAATAATGTCGCTTTCGCCCAAAGCTTTATTACCATTCTAGTACTTTAGCAAAACCCTTCTAAATTTTAAAAAAATGTGTGAATAAGTGAGCTGTACGATCACACAAAACTGGTTCAAAGTGGTTAAGAGCACAGGGTACCCACTCAAGCTTCCAAAGTAAACGGGACAACCTCCTTACTACCTTTCCTAACGACCTATGCGCTGTAGTCAACGGGATCTGGGCATTCAAAGACCATTTCGTAAGAAAGCTCCATTAAATTGCTTAATAACGCGTTTGAAAGCGACCTGGGCTTCGACTAGAAATACGTAAATCGTAGGACCTCGCGAACGACTTGGGGGAAACAGCAAGTTAAGTAAAGCCGAGAAGAAAATTTGTCAATCAAAAATTGTGAGCTATATATAGAAACATATCAAAACTGTTATACCTAAAATGAAAACTAAACGAAAAGAAAAGAAGAAAAAGAAGAAAAGAAAGGAAGCGAAGAGAAGAAGGTACTGACTAGTTTCGAATTCGGATTAAATTCGTTTGTAGTCATTTTACTCGTTTAATTCTTTGTTCAATTTTCTTTTTTGGTAAAACAGCTGGTAGACCTCCCCTTGGTCAAATTCCATTTATTATAACTCCTGAAGGAAAAATCCTTGGACAATCTAACGCAATTGCGAAGTTCATCTGCAAACAAGGAGGTAAGTGCTGGTCAACATGCCATCCCCTGGAGAGCATACAATAAGGCCATCAGAAATTTTGCGAAAAGCAGAGTTTATAAATGTTTCCTTCCGTTTTTCTTGACCATATGCAAGGTATTCGACAATTTATAAATAAATAATTAGGGTCGTTTAAAAGGAGGTGGGGAGCCCCAGATAGGTGAGGTAACATGTGGTGGGTCACCCCACCTATCATGTAAACGTGATCAAATTAAAATGAGAGATGATATGGACAGGCGGGTTACTCCTCCAAACCGCGTTATCTCACCTACCTGGGGTCCCCCACCTCCATGTAAACAGGCCCTTAGACAATGACTCTAATTGCTTCAAACAGCAGCGCGTGTGCGTGAAAAATGCGATATATGCTTGGTTGTTAAGTTGATCGTTATTAACACAAAAGTGTTTTTGTGAAGATTCCTTGGGTATGTTTTCACTTAGGTCTAAGTCCAAGTGATAGTTTTGACGAGGCCATTGCCGACATGATAAATGATGGTGTTGAAGATGTTGTTGCTAACATCATCGAGGCTTTCATGGAAAAAGATGAAGATAAAAAGGTCAGATTTTGAGTTATGAAAAATGTAAGGAGTTATATGCTATTTCATTTGTTTGAAGGTTCGTTTGTTCAACCGTTTGTTCTTTCACTCATTCAATCTACCCATTAAACATTCATTCAATGCATTCAATCCGATTACAAAAAGGTCGTTTCAGACGTTCTTTTTTTCTTTTGTGTAATAGGTGAAGTTGCAGAAAGATTTTTTTGAAAACATTTTTCCTGCCAAACTCCGCAATTTTGAGTCTCTTTTGAAAGAAAGAAATGAAGGCAAAGGCTTTTTCCTGGGAGACGAGGTAAGTGTAAGATGAACATCCGTCTTTCATAAAGAGGACTACAGTCCTCGAGTTTGCTCAAGGTGACTCGAAACTTTTTATTCGCGTGCGGTTGGTTACGTTTTGGACTCGAAAGCTCTAGCCAGAGAGAGAGGGGAGACGGGGAGGGGGGAGGTGCGGTTCATGTAGGCTAAGACGGAACGGGAGGGGGAGAGGGAAAGAAAAGCGGAAAAGGGGACCCCGATTCAGCTCTCCCTTGCACTTACCTTCAGACGCCTGCCACACACACTGTACTTGTAATATTATGATAATAAATGTCTTGTCTTGTCTTGTCTTGAGCCAGCTCCAGCAACAACGAGTTCTCCGATTTCTATGAGTTTTGGTCATCCTAGTAAAATGAAGAACAGTGGAACTTACAAAAACTATTATTCAATAACACTTTGACAAAAAAGTGAAATCTTACCACATATTTCCCTATTTTCACAAAATAACCTTTAGTGCCCTCAAGCTTTGTATTTGCAATCGAGTTTGAAGGCGATCGTGACCATACAACTCGCTTCACAAATTGCTGAGGTTTTCTTTCTTTAAATGCCACGCTAACATAAAATTGATATAGCATCTACGGAAAACTCTCACCAGTTCAGTTTTTGCAACGAAGGTTTCCTTTGTGAGGAGAAATAATGCCGCCAATTCTAGTACATCTTACCATCCACTTTATAGCTGCAATGAAAGCCTTGTGTTTGATAATATATAATTTAAGAGAATACATTTCTGGTAACTAGCTTTCACACTCTCACAAGCTATCTTTGACATCTCTAAAGGCATTGTCGCAAAGTTAACATGTGGATAAAATTGTAACAATTATTCGCCGAAGTGGAGGTGGCTAGGCTACTATTTACCGAACTGCGAAGCAGTGAGGTAAATATCCACGACTAGCCACCGACACTGAGGTGAATAATTGTTTTAGTACATACTAAAACACTGAGATAATTGAGCACAAAAATGATGATTTTTAACTCAAATACTGTTGCCAACGATTACAATTTTGGCGCGTAATGACCGGGCGGCCGGGACCGCCGCTTTTAAGTTCTTGCGGACAATTAAAACTTTTGAAGGCATTTGTTTAGCTCTTGCAGGGAAATTTCTTCAAAAGAAGTTGTGAATTCTTTTTGTATTTAAACTCATTCTATAAAAAAAAGAATATTAAATTTAGTTTTAAGCTTATTTATGAATAACTCAACTAAATAAAGTAACACAAGACTTAAACGTAATTTGCATTTGTAAACAAGAAACTTTTTCACCGGTTTTATCGATAAATTCGTGTCAAAAAGACAAAGCTTTACCTGTTAAAACTTCCAATTCGAACTTCGTCACCTTCTTCGTGTATTTCGGAAACAGCTTGCTTAATTAGTTGTGAAATTTCTTTGTTTGTTTACGGCAGAAACCGGGAAGACATGTTGCTCGCAACTTACGCGAGGTTAGCGTCGGTCGCTCGGAGGAACTGGAGGTGAAATCAGTGAATAGTGCAGGGTATTCACTGATTGAGTAGCCAATCAGAGCACGCGAAAAACACTATACACTGTTTTAGTATATACTATTTATTTACCCGTTTAATTACTACGAAAACAGATTTTCATATTGTCATTCTCATTACCCTCAAGTGGAAGCGAGATTAAAAAATGACATTATTAATATCATAGGTGACGAATTACTCCCTAATTTTGGCGCGAAATTTCAGCGTTAATTTGTCATTTCACAAAATTGCCATGGCAACCTTCCGTACGTCTCAGTGTCAAGATGGCGACGAAGTTTTAAAATGTCATGAATGAAAATGTCAGGGCACAAAAAGACGGTTTAGAAAACCTGAACACACGAAAGAGCACATCAACAAGGATTCTAACAGGTATTTTGTTGAAAAACTCTGAACTTAAGCCAAATTTAAGCTCTAAACGTTCGAGAGAGTGCAGCAGTTCTCGATCGATAAGATCCAGGATGAATATGTCAAAAATCCAAGACTGCTAACGTAATTCGTCACCCATGATATTAATAGGTAATCAAATGGTATACTCGTGAAATTAGGGAATAATTTCACTTTCGTTTTAGGCGTTCGCCTTAAGGCTCGGGAAATTATAAGGATTTGGACAAAACGCGCGTGAAATTATTGCCTAATTTCACTCGTCACCATTTGATTACATAAACTAATTCCGAAAGTAACTTGAATGCATTAATTTCTCTTCCTTTTCCCTCCCAGATGACGTATGCTGATATTACATTCTTTAATATGTGTAACGCGTTTGCCGAGGGCAAGCCAATTGTACCAAAGCAACTCAGTGAATATCCTCTCTTGGTTGAGCATTACGAACGTGTTCTGAATGTGCCGCAAATAAAGGGCTGGATTGAGAAACGACCGAAAACCGACCATTAATGATGCTTTTAATACTGTATGAGGGCGAAACCTCAAAATATCAGATCCCGTACATCGCTTCAGTACTTTTAATAAACTTCTACAAAACAACAATGGTTCACGTCTAACTTTTTTCTTTTCTGGCTGGCTCTCTTTATAAGTTCAGCGCTTTTCCATCTTGTATTTCACGTTTGATAATGGTCTTGAAATAAGAACCGAAATATTACGTTTATTTATTTTGTGTCAATTCTTGCTTACACTAATATTTTAAGTTAGCAAGATGTTTTTCGGAGTTGTTTTTGTATTATATGTTAACTGTCTAGTTGGCACCCTTATCCTACTCTTTGTAGCACACTACCACTGCCTCTCGAGTCTCAAGACTGACACAGAACGTTTTCTTTAGAATGAATCAAAAGGCGGGTCCTATTTGTTCAGGGTAAGATAGGAAACGGTGGAAGGGGGAGGAAAGGGTTATGTTCAAGGGCGGATTTAGGGATGGGAGGCGGGGGCGCCCGACCAGCCCTTTTTCTTTGAAATTTTATATTTTTTTAAGGAATTCTTAGAAAAATAAAAAGTATCTATATAGCTGGCAAGTGGGCAAATGTCCCGGCCACCCCTTTCTGAATTTTCTAGATCCGCCCCTGATGTTAAGTGGCAGTTCAGTAGAATTTACCTCCAAACTTATGCAATGGTTTATGAAATAGGAATATCGAGTTTGCACCATGTTTTTCCTGGACTAGAGTTCAAGACATCGTAGCTTAAGAAAAGAGTAATAAAATACAAGATAAAAATTTCCCGTTTATCTGCACATATCACCACTAACACCGACAAGCTACTGTATTGCATTGTATTATTTTTAGTAGGTAAAAAATGGTAAATGTGCACACAAGCCAAAGGCCCAAACGGCCGGAGCTTATTCCGGTTTGCTTAGTATGAAGCATGCCTAGGAGTGTTGATACCTTCCCCTGGATGGGATGCTAATCCCTCGCAGGGCTACCCCCCTCCCCCTCAACAGTATCAACTTAAATTTAACTAGCTCAGGAACACAACTAAATTTATATTCTCTGTGTAAATCATAATGCAATTAAATTAGCTTAATACATACTATAGTTTTTATTTTGCGACAGCTGGTACCGTTTGTAAAATAGTTCTTTTTTTCTTTTCTTTCTTTAAATTTGTGTGTCTCTTCCCCCGCCTCGATTAGGCTCTCCTATACGCGGGTAGAAGCTATCGTGTAATTGTAAATTGAAAGTGAATGAATAAAGTTGAAGTTGAAGTTGAAGTATGTTGCCCGTACCCATTTATACACCTAGGTGAAGAGAGACAAGGCAGAGTTAAGTACCTTCTCTAAGGAAACAACGCAATGGGCGGGGTTTGAAGCCCGGAGATCAAGGTGTTAACTGCTTGGCTACACATTAAGTAGGCTGCACAATTAACAGGTTTTATTTTGCAGATGCCAAAGATGTTCTACTTTGCTCTCAGCTTAACAACATGTCACCATAAATCCTCTATTAAGCCCCCCTGGAGGGCTTATTTATTTCAAGCCCATTTGAGGGGGGGCTTATTTAATTTCAAGACGACAATCGTATCAGTTTTCCATAAAGAACTAGATTGCAAAGTGGAAAAGCTCAAGTACAAGAAGTTTTAGGTCATGCAGCTGAGGATCAGAATCAAATCCGATCTTCCACTTGGTAAATAAACCATACTGGATCAGTCCACACAAAGTTTTACAATCGTGGTTGATTGATATAGTCTATCATTTATTATTGGCTTATTAACTTTCTTCCCCTGAAAAGGGGGGGGGGGCACTTATTAGAGGGAGGGGGCTTATTTGAGAGGGGGGAGCTTAATAGAGGATTTATGGTATGCACTCTACACTTTTAATCAAAGCTGAGTTGCTTAGTAACTTATTTATTCAACTCTTTCACAGGACTGTATCTGGCCTTGTCTTGAGGCGTGTCTTAACCACTGGTATATCACGGACACGCTCGTAAAGCCCTTGTAGCAAAGGAAATTCTTTCAATTCATCTGGGTAGCCATTGATCTTGTCCTTAGCAATCCAGCTATTCATGAAGTTAAAGAAAGAAATGTCTGCGTAGCTTAGCTGGAAAGAAAAAGAGTCCATTTTTAGACTCAAATAGGAAGTCAACAAACTGTAAGCCCATTTGCACTTTTGGTGCCTTAATTAGTCTTACAAGGCCAAAATCCTTATATCTGCTGGGTTGTCACTCCCATCATTTTTCATGTGACAGATGACCCTGATGTTCCACTAAATGTGAATGAATGACAAAATCATGGAGCAAATAATCTTAAAAAAATACAGTCTAAGTGAGTGCATACCTTTTTGCCGACAAAATACCCCTTTCCACCTTCGTTACCCTCTAAAACCTTTTCAAGATTCTTAAGATCAGTGGGCAGAGACTCTTGAAACTCTTTTACAAACTTCTCCTGAAAGAAAATTTGGAAACCAGAAAGCACACATGTAAAGTCTCTTTCACACAGGAAATGTTCATAATAAAAGGTTAATAACAACTTAATTCAGCCTTATAACTCGCAAGTCAGGCATTACATCCCTAGTCCACCCCGCTGTTGGAGAACAATCAGCAAGTGATTGAGAGAAGTTCACAAGTATATCAAAAGAGAAGGAGGTATGGATGGAGAGGAAAAAATGGCGGGGAAGAGGGGAATGAGCCTATAACCAAAATACACATGGACACATTCAGTACAATGGTTATATCTGTTCTTAATTAAATGAAAAAAGTTAAAAAATTATTCTTTAAATCCTAAGAGTGACCAACATTTAATTTCACCTTATAGTGTACTACTTAATCAATAATAAGCAGGGTTATGAGTAAAACATGATCAACAAGTAAAGAATGCCTTGATTCAAGGCTGTGCTCTAGCAGAGACTGGTGGCCCCTGGTGCCTAACTTTTGCCCTTGGGCAACTGAAAATCTTCCTTCTTTCACAAAATCATATGCTGGGCACCCTGGATTTTACAGGTTCCGAGAACTGAGCTCCCTTCAATGTTCCTTAGAGCACAGCCTTGCTGACTGATGAGCAAATTCTCCTCATCAGCACCAAGGCTTTGAATGGAGATCAGAGCATCGAACATTTTAAGCACCAAGGCACATACATTTATTAGAATGTTTACCTTGAGTGCAGCATCAGTTTCAAATCGGCATTTTCTGGCTTTGGCCCTAATGTCCATGACTGCATCCACAACCATGTCTGCAAAAGCTTTTTCTAAGTTCGTTTCAGGAGCCAGTCCTATAAACATCAACCATATATATACAGGGGTGATGCCATGGATTACCTTGAATACATTGTGTGGTTCCAAAATTATCCATATACCTCCCCCATGGAAGGGATTTTTACTTAGACCTCCCCACCTCTCTGGAATTTATTCCAGTCAAGCTTCATACATTTACTTAAAGTTTTGGGCCTTTGAGAACTCCCCACCCCCAAGGAATTTCCAATCCCTTCTGTGGAGGGAGTATGGATATTTTCTGAAACTACACATTGACATTTAACTCTATGTTTCAGTGCATACACATTCTTGATCCTTTATTGAGCTATTTTGAAAAAATAGCTCATATGTCAGTGGTGTGAGCGTATGTATCTTTGTGGCTTTGTATCTTTGTGGCTTTGTATGTTGGGATGTTTGTTGCAAGAGCCAATAAGGTTGAAGGTACTATGAGTTGATGCTTAGCGACCAATGAGATCTTGGCATCTATTTAAACATGGCATTGGCAAAGGTCAAACAAGGGCACTTTGAGACCGCCATCTTGATCCTTCACAATTTTTTCGTTTTTTATTACAAGTACAGGTGTTTGGAAGCATTACATAAAATATCTTCATGATTCAAACGCTGTGAACAGTGATGGAGCTTTTTAAGGGTTCATATTTAAGTGTGGATGCTGCTTCAAGGCATTTCTGACCTAATTCGGCTATCGGTACAACGCACGTCAGTATGAGTTCTGTTTCACCTGCTACAACTGGGTAGAGTATAAAAGATCATATATTTTCAAAGCTCTTCCAATGAAGCAATAATTGATATTTAGATATGGATTTTAATTCGAAAGTATGCGCCCTGTAAAATGTGGTTTTAGAAGTTTAAAAGGCAGCTTATTTTTTTGAAAGCTGTATCAAGTATTGTTAATCCTGTAAACAAGCTTTAAAAATATTATTCCCTCACTTACAAAGTTCAACCGACCTTTTTCGTTCTATTTAGTAAGGATGCGTAACTTAAGTAGAAACAGTAGCGTTAGGGAATAAAATTGGAAGAAGCTAGTTGGCACAATAATTAGATACTGTTATATTGAGTGGAGTAGATAATAAGTAGAAATATATTTCGGCATTTTGATAATTTTCTTGAAAGTTAATAAATGTTAGGCTATCAACCTTGACGTTGCATGAAACATAATTTAATTGCAGATGTTCTAATAAAGCCGAGGTGATTTCTTAATTCGTTTGAGAAAAATTTGTAGTAAAACAATTTGCCTCTTTTTTACGTACGAATTGTGAAGGGCCAAGGACCAACATCTTCACATGCAAATTGTGTGCATGAGTTATTTTTATAATTCTGTTTACCAGATTACTGTGTGATAACTCGAATTCCCTCACGTACGAACGACGAAAGGGGGCAAAGTCCAACACTTTCACGTGCCAGCTGTGTGACTGTACATCTCTTGCAGATTGGCTTTTCACAATAATAATAGTAACTTGGACGTATGAAGACCTGTTTCGTTTAGTAACCAATGCCTTAAAAAAGGCTCTTGTCTTTTAAGAAGCAATGGCCTTTAAAACATGA